ATTTATGTGTTTAAATTTTCTTACCTTTTCCCTTTATACGGTAAACCCGAATGGTTGATATTGTACGATAAATTAAATGTAGTATTCCCAACCAATAATAAACCTGGTATAGATCTACTGCGTAGTTTTAAATAGTGCTTAAAATAGACATTATGCTAGTCTAAAAATAGCAATAGAGATTTCAATGTACACTAGATTGACAGAAATCGAAACTATTAAACGAATAATTTAATTTACTCATAAATATTGATTATTTTAAAACTAAATGAATTGTAAATAATTATTTTATAAAAGTGTAATTATCACAACGTTGACTTGTTTAACTGGTTAACGGTTTTGGGATTTCCCCTAAGTTTCTATGATATTTTTAGAAACGGGGAATTTCAAACATTCTAAATTACTAAACCAATCGTGTTTTGTTTATAGTGAGTAATTTCGATTTGTGGGGGAAATCAATGTTAGCACTACGGCAGTTCAGCTAAAGTGCATGAATTCGATACAGTGAAACCATAAGGACGAGTTTTTACATTTGCAATTACTTAAGAAAAGTATTTGTATGATCGTATGTTTACTTTGTCATGTATAAAACATATTTCTTAACAATGCAATGTGTGTGTGTTAATTCAATTTGACTGTTCTATTTGCAAAATCAAATTGCATTGATGTTGTTATTTGTGATATACAGTCAGTGTCAAATTTTCGGCTTCGAGCGTTCCTGGTCAAATCCAGAAAAGCGCTTCCGACGCAATAACGTGTTGTTTCCAATTGTTTTCACTGATCGTGTATCGCCTTGTTTGTTAGGTTGATAGTGACATTTCGTAAAGTTCTATTTATGCCTACAATAAATACTATACATTTATGGATTTGGTAAATCGACAGCTTCAAATCCAAATTTGTTGGTTTTGTAACTAATATATTTCACTGGGAACAATTGTAATAGAGGGGCGAAATAGAGATGTAATTAAGAGTTGCTGTATTATAATGAGAACCACCATACAATGTCTGGAAATATAACTCGCATTCCAATTTTTCTAAGCCTTGTACAAATCAATTTTATATTTTACATAATGTTGGGATATTCTGTACAAAAGTTTTTCGGGTTGCCTCCTTTGTATCTTTTTCCCCTTGTAGAAGGGTCTGGGTGGGGGTTCCTTCATTTCTGTATTTTTTTTTTAATTCTTTTATGCCATTTTGCTCTATTCTTTATAATTTTTGCCCCTTATTTTCCATTCATTATATTCTAGCACCTCATTTTTCTCTATAATTTAATATTTTGGTCCTTTTTGCCCTATTCTTTATATTTTTGACCATTATTCTCTATTCTGTAAATCCAATTAGCACCCTCTTGTAGAGGGTTCATGTCATATTGTAATTATATTTACATATGCTTCACTGGTGGCTTCCTACTTACTTTTTATTACAATATAAGATCATGGAATGAACAATTTAATGAATCATGTTGACTGTCCAGCTAACAGTAATAATGTGATGTCTTTAATCGTTGGTTTTATATACAATCTTAAAAGATGTGGTATTATTGTCAATTTTTACTTATTTATACTTTTACTAACTCGTACTTCTACCAACTTGTACCCAAGTTTTAGATGTATAAGTCAACTTCCAAGCAAGGACCTAAGCTCATAAACTTGGCAATCAGTGAGTTAAAAGCAAGACTCTAGGAAAGTTCAGAGAAGATCTTTTTCGGAAGCTGGCTTTATGATACAAAAAAGTCCTCAGAGATAAATTAAAAATTTTTTTTTTAAATCTCACCTACAACAGATCAATCATTTTACAGTTTTTTAAGGGGTCGTTGTACAAAATAACATGATACGGATCGGACTATAAATTGATGCACCACACTTTGCGTGAAAATTGAAATTATTTCTCATTTTGGTTTCTGTAACCAAATAGAGAACATTAAGAATCAAAGTTGAAAACCAAGTATCAATATCAAAGAAAGATTGTGCACATACAAAACCATAAACTACCAGCACTAGTAAACCAATTTAAACTGAAAAGTCATGTTAAGTCTTTCAGTCTATTTCAGACTTAATAATGTTTTTCAGCTCTTTGGTCGGATTGTTGTCTCTTTGACACATTCCTCATTTCCATTCTTAATTTTATTATCCACTGCAGCTATTGCCAGTAAATTCAGTTCTGCTGTAAGTTATTTAATATATGTTCAGTCTATATTTAGACTGCTCAGTAGTTTTCGCGTACCAAACACTAAGATTATGAATTGTCTGAAAAGCTACGGAACAGTAAAAGATTGAAAGCCAGTCAAATATATATCTGAACAGTATTGAATTAGCAACAAAAATTTCTGGAAAAAAAACTAATATCAAAACACAACAATGTTTTCAGTTTTGGACTTTTAAGATGTTGTTGCAGTCAAGGTCAAAATGACTGTTTAAAGATTAAAATTTGTTTACTAGTGCCCTTTTGGCATGTTTGGGTATCATAAACAAATTTATTTATATAAAAGAGAGACAATTCTGGAAAATTATAAAATACAAATAATAAAGTAATAATCTTGTTAATATAATTTGTTTTTAATTTTCATCAATTAATCAGAAATTGCAGAGATACAATTAGCACTGGTCAAAGCCTGTGTTTTAGATGAACATGTGAAAGATAATATAAATAATGAACAGCATTTGCAAAATCAAATGTCCTATTAAAAGGATTCTTCAAAATAGATAAATAAATATATGTATATGTAGTACAATAAGTTGCGGAAAACATTTACATGATATAGTAAAGAGAAAAACATAAAACTTTTAAAGCTTTATACATGTTATAGACATGATCAATGAAACAATATTCATATATTATATACTTAAAAAAGAAAATCAATGAAGAATTAAGGCATTTGTCTCTTCTGCAAATGTTAACTGTTGATTAACATTTTTTTTCTGCTTCACTGTCTTAATTGCAAGAGATAATAAACCCCTGTTTTTCTATTCAATTTACCATTTCAAAATATTATGCATTCTGCATAATATATTTATTTCGAATAACTATATACAGTCTAGAAATATAAAATTTGTTTTTCTACAATACTTAGAAATAGGTAGACACATGGTAGAATGTAAGGCTGTTTCTGATTTGGGCCAAGTACATATAGAATTTATATTTAGAGACATTGTACAATTATTCTCTTTATACTGCTACTTTTACAACTGTTCCAAAATGAAATCTTTTGCTAAAATACCATCAATTATGAATTTGGAGGGGATACTGAAAATCTGTATTCTTTATCATGTTTATTGACGTTCTAAATAAAACTCTCCAGAAATGCATTGCTTACATCGTTGTCAATATAATGGAATTTGATGCGACTGTCATACAAGTGAGAAGTTTAGCTAGCTATAAAACCAGGTTTAATCCACCATTTTCTACATAAGAAAATGCCTGTACCAAGTCAGGAATATGACAGTTGTTATCCATTTGTTCGATGTGTTTGAGCTTTTGATTTTGCCATTTGATTAGGGACTTTCTGCCAACATCATAAACATATATGCAGTATAAAAAGGAGTAGATCACATTGTGCTTGAAGTGAATTACTTCCTAATTAATATCGAATAATCAAATAGCATTTCCTTCTTTTTACTTTCGAAATTACCCATAATTCTTCAGTTTTTTATCACATGGCTACTTAGTTCACCATTGGGATAGCATAATTTCTCCTAAAATGTGTAATGCATAGCTTAACATTATCAACATAAAAAAAGAAATACTATTATTAACAAAACAAAATGAAAGAACCTTAGTGAGCGTGCTCACATAACCCACGTCCCCACATTGTCATTGGAGAAATAAAATAAGTGTAAGAAAAAAAAATTGTATCAGAAAAAAAAATTGAATCCTAATTTCCTGTCGATATGCACATCTACGTAGTATGTCCTTATTATCTGAAAAGGTTTCATGAAATTCTGTTGTGTGTTTTGAGAGGAGTTGCGATGACAAAAGGTTGCAGTAGTATATTGGGCAAATAAGTTCAAAGGGGCGTAACTCCTGAAAAAAAAATTGAATCGTAATTTCATGTCGATATGCACATCTACGTAGTATGTCCTTATTATCTGAAAAGGTTTCATGAAATTCTGTTGTGTAGTTTGAGAGGAGTTGCGATGACAAAAGGTTGCAGTAGTACATTTAAGTAAATAAGTTCAAAGGGGCGTAACTCCTAGAAAAAGAATTGAATCGTAATTTCCTGTCGATATGCACGACTACATAGTATGTCCTTATTATCTAAAAAGGTTTCGTGAAATTCTGTTGTGTGGTTTGAGAGGAGTTGCGATGACAAGAAACAGGACTGACGGACTGACGGAAGGACAGACGGATGGGTCAAAAACATTATACCCTCCGCAACTATTGCGTGGGGTATAATGAAGCAAAAACCACATGACATGAAGTTTCAAATAATTATTCATGTACAATGATCAAAGCACTTTTTATTTTTTTATGAAATTCACAAAATTTTAGTCAGTTCAAAAAAATATAACCGTATTGCAATAAATAATAATATGTGCACAAGGATGTCTTGCTCAAGAGGTGGAAGGACCTTTTTTCAGGACGTTGGGATTGGGCCTAAATCATATTTATTTTTTGTGAGAATTTAGGATTCACATTTATCCGGACTCTGGAAATGATAATTAGTTTTTCGGGATCCAGGAAAGCATACTGTTTTCTTTCGAGAATTCTAGATTCAGTTTTTTTTCCATGAATTTGAAATAACACCCCCCCCCCCCCCCCCCCCCCCTCCCCCCCACCACCTATCTCCCTCTTGCAAATACTCACTCGGATATAACATATCTCCCTCTGATAAATTCCAAGAATTTAAAAATTATAATAGAATCTCGATCAGAGATTGACCAACACCAACATTATCTTCATCAACTTTTTGTATTTCCCTGTATCAATAACATTATGGTAAGCACTTCAGAGAAACACTTTCCTCGATGTCCTTATAGTTGTACAGAAAGCATTGTAAAAATGCATATGCTTCACATCTGAATTTACTTCTAAATGAATATAATAAATCAATATATCACACATTTTCATGTGAATATTCATTTGCCAGCTAGGCATTTGAATTAACATATCTTTCATTTAAATCAATATAACAGAACAAATTTTTAGCGACGTCTGCCACAATAGAGTTTATCTGAATATGATTCGTTTCCTCACTATAAATATTGTGCAGGAATCTGTGTTTGTAAGCTTCATTCTCAATGTTTGCCACATTATAATTAACGGAATATGATACGTTTCCTCAGTGTAAACATAGGTGCAGGAATCTGTTTGTAGGCTCCATTGTCAATGTTTGCTGTAGCTCTTCCAACCTCCTCATTCACTTTAATCAAAATACTCAGTAAGTCGTGCCTAAAAATAAGATAAAATTTTAAATTAATGCAAATGCTACCAATAATAAGGAACCTCATTTTTTTATGTTTGTCTGAAATTGGTATAATAGCTTCAGACAAGAATATTTTCAAAAAACATTAACATGAGGGACGAAGGCTTTTTCAGTCAGATGAGATAAACAAAACTACTTTAGTCTGTATTAAAAATAAACAAAACAAAATATACATAATGTGACTCTGTTTAAACTTTTCACGTTTTTTAAAATATCTCTTTTTTTCTAATTTCATTTTTTACAGTAAATTTAATGAGGTAGAAAAAGTCTGGAGCACATGATATCACTCTTTGTTAAAACGGATTTTACAGCTTAGTCTTTATTTTTCTGTTTTGTAGACTGTAATTCTTTAAACATCCTTTTTGCTTTTGCCAAAGTTATGACTGATTGTCTTTCACTTTTTGACTGTTCCCTAGGTATATTGCACCTCTGTTCAGTATTATAACAAAAATGACCAAGGTAGTTGATTTTCAGAAAGAAAAAAGTAATATACAGTGAATTATGTCTTTTTCCTTATTTCTAACTGGGAAAAGTGCTGTTCTGTCATGCTTTGTGCTCACTTTGAAATACATGTTTTATTAAGATGGCATTGGCTACAAATTGCTAAGGATTCTTAAGGATGTATTGTGATCATGATGTAAGCTATTCTGAATAAACTACAAGATAGATATAGATTCAACGACTTCAACAAGTGTGTCACAATATTTCTCCACTCAGGACAATTAAATTTGAATATTAAAATTGCCAGGCTTGCCGAGCTTTTTAGATAATCAAAATTTAGCTGTCGAGAGTTCTAGTGGAGGAATCTGTTTCTCTAATGATTTTTATCCTTTCTTTTTAAAAATCTGCAGAAAGTTGTGTTCTTTTTGTGATGTCATCAGACATGGTTTCCTTTTTTTCCTGACATCACAATAGGAAATTCAGAAAAAAACAAGAAAAAGATAATGTCATAATTAAATTTGACCAATCATTTGTGGACAGATATTTCACTAGTGAGAACATTTTTTTCAAAATCAACTTGAAAATGTTAAAATGGTGAAAAAAATAGAGAAAATATTTCACAAAATGTTTTTATTGCTTAAAGTCATTATACTTAATTAATTATTGATCATGTTTGGTTTTCAACAGACAGCAATTGCCAAGTGAAGGCAATATTTCATTTCATGCAACAACAGCCATTAAATTTAAGAGCCTCATCATGGGGTTTCTGATTATGTAATTACTCCACCGTTTTTATGTGATTACCAGACCAAATATTTCATGAACATTTGATTATTTGATAATCTAGGACTGTATTTTTTATTATTTGATTATCTTGTTTAAAAAAAAATTAATGATTATGTAATTATATTGGCAAACAATTTGTGCTTATGTGATGACTTGGACATCCCAATGAGGGGCCTCATTAAAGTAGTTATATATTCCTATACTTACTGATAAGCATATTTATCCAGATTCTGTGATAACTTATTGATATACCAGCTCCCCTGTGATCTACTTCTGTAGGAAACATAGCCGGGAACAGTAGCATATCCTAACAAGAAATCAGCTTCATCAGGGATTAACTCCCTTGGTCTGTCAACATTTAAATCCTGTCTTTCTTCAGAACTATCTGAAACTGGCATACTTCCTTTACCATCTGTTTCAATGACATGCCCTAAAATAAGTTATGATAATAATTAGATTTGGTTTAAAATCAGGAATACCCAACAATGTATCCGGCCTGTTTGGAAAATTTTTACACAACTATGCTATTAATATGATTAATATCATACAAAGAAATTGTACATGTATAAAATTTGAAAGTATACCAGGGCTTCCAAAAAACAAAATTGAGCCAGGTGGACAATTTTTTCAATCCCATTTTTAATCTCTTAATACTTTGTAACTTAAGGCAATTAAGGTTATCATTGGGGAATCAAGGAAATTCCAACAATGACTGACATGAAATGGATTATTTAGTACTTTCGATATAGATTCCATAAACTGACATTCCCACATTGATAGTTTTGTCATCTGACAGAGCATCATTTGAAGTGTGGAACAATAAGATTCAGTAAGAAGGGAAGAAGATGATTCTATCTTTTGTTTTAAAAGACATGTTTTCTAATACCAGAGGTTCACTTGACAAGGGTAAAGATCAGAACAGAGACAGAAAAACTAAAATCTGTGTTTTGTTGTCAAGCATCATCATGTTTAAGTCGTTCAAGTAAATACTTGAAATGATAATAAGATTCTTAGTATGAATTACCTAAAATTATGTTTTTCATTACTATGAAAGCTTCCAAATGCACAGTTAAAGATGATTTTTGGCTCTTTAACCTTTTAATTTTCATATTCAATCAGTTTAAATATATTTATGAGAAAATAAATTGTTTTTTTGATAGAATAATTAAGATGCAAACCAATTTTGTTTATGTCATATTTTTAATCAATAGATGGAACAGATATTACAGTTCCACAGGTTTCCCAGGAATTTAATTCTACAATAATTCAAACACAGATGTGCACTTTAATATAATACCTTCTTGTTTTTCTCTTCCTTGACAAGCCTGAATGAAGAACAACTTCGGTTTTCCCGCCAATGACGGACATCTTCTACCAGAAAAACAGCTGGTTAACTGACTAATTCTTACGATCCGTCCATCAGCTCCATAAACATGGCCGAGCACTCCATGTGTCAATATTGACACCACAAGGCAGTCATACTTTGAATGGTCTTCAAAGGCTGTTTCCACCATGATCTGAGTCATTCGTGTTGAGTCTACGTCATTGTAGGAACGTACTTCAAAATCCAACTTCCTCCATATGTAATCCAGTTTTTCTAAAAAAAGAGAATATTTATATAATTAATTATCACTTGATACAACTAATCAACATATTTTACAAGAGTAACACAATGGATGTCACATGTGGAGCAGTATCTACTAACTCTTCAGGAGCACCTGTGATCACCTAAAAATTTTATGGGGTTTGTGTTGCTCAATCTTTAGTTTTCTATGTTATGTTTTGAATACTCTTGCATGTCTTTTGGTTGTTTTTCATTTTTTGCCATGGAATTGTGAGTTTGTTTTAGTATCTTTCATCTGTTTTTTATATAATCATATATCATTCTTACAAAATCTACAAATACTGACTTAGAACAACTTCTGTCAAAAATGTATAGCCATGTCTTTTCACCTTACAAATATATATAACACTAATATAACTAGAGGCTCTAAAGAGCCTGTGTCGCTCACCTTGGTCTATGTGCATATTAAACAAAGGACACAGGTGGATTCATGACAAAATTGTGTTTTGGTGATGGTGATGTGTTTGTAGATCTTACTTTACTGAACATTCTTGATGCTTACAATTATCTCTATCTATAATGAACTTGGCCCTGTAGTTTCAGTGGAAATTATTTTGTAAAAATTTACAAAATTTATGAAAATTGTTAAAAATTTATTATAAAGGGCAATAACTCCTTAAGGGGTCAATTGACCATTTTGGTCATGTGACTTATTTGTAGGTCTTACTTTGCTGTACATTATTGCTCTTTACAGTTTATCTCTATCTATAATAATATTCAAGATAATAACCAAAAGCTGAAAAAATTTCTAAAAATTACCAATTCAGGGGCAGCAACCCAACAACGGGTTGCCTGAATGGTCTGAAAATTTAAGGGCAGATAGATCTTGACCTAATGAACAATTTTGTTTTTGAAAGATTTGCTAGAAATGCTTTGGGTTTAGATATATGAGCCAAAAACTGCATTTTACCCTATGTACTATTATTAGCCATGTAGGCCATCTTGGTTTGAGGGTGGGGTCATCAAACACAATTTTTAAACTACATACCCTAATGATGATTGTTTACAACTTTAGTTAAATTCATCTTAGTAGTTTCAGAGGAGAAGAGTTTTGTAAAAGATAACAAAAATTTACGAAAAATTGTTAAAAATTGACTATAAAAGAGCAATAACTCCTTAAGGGGTCAACTGACCATTTTGGTCATGTTGACTTATTTGTAAAACTTACTTTGCTGAACATTATTGCTGTTTACAGTTTATCTCTATCTATAATAATATTCAAGATAATAACCAAATAAGGCAAAATTTCCTTAAAATTACTAATTCAGGGGCAGCAACCTAACAACGGGTTGTCCGATTCATCTGAAAATTTCAGGGCAGATAGATCTTGAGCTAATAAACATTTTTACCCATGTCAGATTTGCTCTCAATGCTTTGGTTTCAGAGATATAAGCCAAAATCTACATTTTATCCCTATGTTCTATTTTTAGCAATGGCGGCCATCTTGGTTAGTTGGCCGGGTCACCGGACACATTTTTTAAACTAGATACCCTAATGATGATATTGGCCAAGTTTGGTCAAATTTGGCCCAGTAGTTTCAGAGGAGAAGATTTTTGTAAAAGTTTACGGACGACACACGACGGACGCAGGACGACGGACGCCAAGTGATGAGAAAAGCTCACTTGGCCCTTTGGGCCAGGTGAGCTAAAAAGGGGTACAGAATATTTGGTTTAATAATATACCTTTCTATTTATCTTTTTAACTTTCGATTGTTAAAAACACCACAAGTTTGATGTTATGCCACTTTATTCCACCAGAAACAAAAAAGCCATTGAAAACATGCAACTTTACTGGTGTCAGACCACCAATTAAAAGTCCCTATCTGTTCAACCAAATTTTGCAATTTTCACAGCTTTCTAAATATTTTACCTTAAGTTTAACTTCATAGAAACCAGATATATCCTGAATTGTACATGTATCAGCTTTCTACATGCCAATTTTCAACATACGTTAATCATATAAGAAAGAAGAGGTCTCCCAAATAGAGGTACCACTAAAAATAACCCCTGGTTTTCTGGAAATCTTAAATTAGTATACTATGGAGTGTACTAATCCTCAATGTTGAATGCAAACTCATAGACAAGTAAATTTTGGCTCAAAATGGTCTTAATATATTTCTCTTTCACCAAAAGTTTCATTTCTGCCAATTTGTTGGTTAGTTTAAGAAAACAATGACATCAAATGCACTATTTTTTGTCCGAGTAGGCCTACTTTTACATACGTTCTAAATTGGAGGGAGTGAGTTGGTGGTCTGACACCTAAAGGTAGGAGATAACATCTTATTCTGAAGGACGCCTCCGGGTGCGGGAGTTTCTCGCTGCATTGAAGACCCATTGGTGGCCTTCGGCTGTTGTCTGCTCTATGGTCGGGTCGTTGTCTCTTTGACACATTCCCCATTTCCATTCTCAATTTTATTCCATTCTCAATTTTATTCCATTCTCAATTTTAATAAGATACTTCTAATTTCCAGACACAACTTAAACAGTATGTTGACTCCCAAAGAGTTGTCTCCCTTGTGTGATATTCCCTTATAGAACTACAAGATTATGTTTACCTGCATCTTTTTCTGTACCAGTTCTTGCTGGCATCTCCTTGCTTTGTGGATCATTTCTGATTTTATGGAAGTGCTGGTTGTTCATTATTATGGCTAAACCTAAAAATATATTTTTTTTTAGTAATTGTTGGTAAAAATATACACACTTATCTGTAATTTTTTCAAAACATTTATATTATTGCTGCTATAATATAAATTACGAGAATGAAATTTCATTTGTATACTCAAATTTTGAGAATATCCAACATTGTAATAAAGAACACTAGACTTGCCAACTGCAGTGGGGGTTTTAGTGCTTGACCAGATTTTTAAGGGTAACTATTTTTGCGGTGTTTCTGTGTGCACTGGTTTTTACTCTTTAAATAGTCTCATATCTCTTCTGTTTTCTATTGGTATACTGATGATGAGCTAATAAGCCTTGATTTCTTTTATTTTAATGATTCTTGTACTTATTAGATGTCAAAATAACTTTAGAATAGAGAATAAAAATGGCATAAAAAAATAAAGGATACAAAATGAACTCCAGTCCCCCATTTCCCTCTCCAAAGACCTGCCCCATTCCCTATCTCCCTCTTGCTAATTCTATCTCGTATAACAAATCCCCCTCTAATTAAGTCAAAAAAAATTTAAATTTGAATAAAACCCTGACCAACACCAACATTATCTTCATCAATTTGTTGCACCATGACTCAAAAGACCTAAACCTAAATGTCCTAAAGTTAGAACGATGAAGACAGATCTTGGGTTAGTCTCATGAGTCTATCAGCAGTATTTCTAATGATTGGAATGACCAATTAAAATCACCAAATCCTATCAATACAGATACATTGCTGGATATACATCTCAAAGAAGGAATTACTACACTACACCTTCAAAGCGCATTAACAAAAACATTTAATGACATTCTGCTGATCTGTTTTGTTAATCTCCTACATCAGGAAAAATCTGGTTGAATGAATTTCTCAAGTTGAAATTATCCTCGATCTACTTGATAGTCCACCTTCCTTTTCTGGCACCTGATATTCATTGCTTAAATAAAAGGCTCGCAATGAACAGTATGTTTACACTGGAAAAACTTTACAAAATCAATAAAACTGATAGCGATACTTTATATATGTTACAAAACAGTCTTATCGCACATCGCCACACATAATTGACATGTGTCACTACACACAATTGATTTTATTCAGTTGGCCGTTTACAAAACAAAAAGACTCACCTTTTAACTTCTATTAGATAAATTTCATGTTAGGTGTAGCACAACTTTCAATTTACAAAACTAGACAAAAGTATTTGAAAATAAATGTGGATAGTGTCCACATGTGGACACAGATGATGCTCGCTTGCATATTATATAGTTATAAAGGGACATAACTGAAGAACGGTAAAAGTGATGCTACCCAAATTTGAACTTGATCTGAGTTTTGTGGTAATAAGCATTGTGTGTAAGTCTCATAACATTTGGTTGAGGCTAGCTTAAGTAGAGAACAGAAACTAAAAATTCAGCAATTTTTATGTTTATAAAGGAACATAACTCAAGAATGGTAAAAGTGTTGCCACCAAATTTCATACTTTTAAAATCTGTATTATGTAGTAATAAGCATTGTGTATAAGTTTCATAACATTTGGTTGAAGCAAACTAAAGTTAGAAAACGGAAACAAAAAATTTGTACTTGATCTTAGTTTTGTGGTAATGAATATTGTGTATAGGTTTCATAATGTTTGGTTGGGGCAAACTTAAGTTACAGAATGGAAACTAAAAATTTTGCAATCTTTCGATTCATAAAGGGGCATAACTCAATAATGGTTAAAGTGACACTACCCAAATTCAACTTGATCTGTGTTTTATCAGTGGAAGTAAAAATTAAACATTGCATTGTATAAACATTGATTGTAGTTGATTCAACTATAATCATGGACAAAGGGAGGATAACTCAAATTTTAAAAATTACTCGATATTTAAAAGAAAATAAAAATTTTGCAATTTTTCCATTTATAAAGGGGCATAACTCTAGAACGGTTTAAGTGACGCCACCAAAATTCAAACTTGATCTCTGTTTTGTGGTAATAAGCAATGTGTATAAGATTCATAACATTTGGTAGAGGCAAACTCAAGTTAGAGAACGGAAACCAATTTTGGGACGGACGTATTTACAGACCGACAAGGGTAAAACTTAATGCCTCCACCGCTACGGCGGGGGCATAATAAAAATATTGATTGCACAAGGCTCTTTCAATATACACTACAAAATTACGAAACGCATGGAATATACACTTCTTTATTATACAATGAAAAACAGTTTAGATCTTTTTGAGAAACACTTTTTATGTAGAAACCCTGTTTTACAATACACCTTATCGCTATTTGTCTGCCATTACTGGACATCACACAAGTTCCCGTAAAATTTTGACGTCATAATAGAAAATATCTGACGCCACAATGGAAAAGTGATTGTTGTATGACGTCAAAAGTTCGAGCGGGACTGATTCTCGGGTCAAGCGGGATTAGCGATAAGGTGTATATAATGCAACATATATATGTATTGAATTCAGAATGTGAGTTTTTATTCTTGCATTACTCATCAGTCGCATAATTCGCATTAATAAAAAACCTCACAATAATTTCTGAATTTACAGTAATGAGGTTTTAAGCTCTACTTAAGCATGATATAAATCCACAAAGCTCTAGATATTGGCATTAACCCTTGTATTAAAAACATGATAAATTGAACAAATGTAGGCATATTTACACATATGGCCCCTTTATGCATCCCATCTGCCCCATTTATTCAAGCCAGTCAAAAAATCAAGGAAAAAAACATTCAACTATCAAAATGTTAAGCTCCACTTAAACAAGATATAAATCTACAAACCCCTAGGTCTGGCATTCATCTTATAGAAAGGCATAGCAGAATCATCAATGGCGACAGCCTCCATTTGCCTGACGATGACATCATCCTGTCGATTTGGTTGTCGTATGCTCTGGTTAATTAGAGGATTTAAACCTGAAAAAAATAATTTAATAATATCATCAAACAAATTCCAAGAAGTATGAATACTAGGATTCATTGATTGATCGTCTGTTGGTGTTTAATGACACTTTCGTCAATCTTGGTTACTGTAAAACAACTTGCTTTCATGAGCGATTTATTTTTGCAACTTTCTTGAGTTGAAAATAAACGTGAAAATAAAAAGTGGCAAATAGGCAAAACTATGATCTAGCCTTATATGAATACAAAAAAAAATCTAAAAAATCACAAATATAAATTGCCACATTTTGGCTAAAAAGGGCTAAACATGAAAATAAAGTATCTGCAAAAATAAGCTGGTTTACAGTATATCATATAGTCATGTGTCTATACCAAGTTAGGAACCTTGTCAGAGCTTGTAGTCAAAGAGACCTATCATTGTGGACCTCTGATTAGAATATAACACATTACTTACTTGGACCAACTTGTGCTCCTGAATTTGACAGATTGATAGGGGGTGTGGCTGCTCTGAAATCTGTGTCCTCATTTCCTTGAGACACTCTAGCTTCACCTGTAATTTCATAAAATTACTCAAAAATACATTAAGCCAACAGTTGTTAATCGATGCTCAAATATCATCAATCAATTCAGAAGATACAAATCAAGGTGTAAGTAAATTAAAACCTTACTAAATATTATTGTTATAAACATACCGGTTACGCACATTTACAGTCCAACAACCTGTCAATACCATTTATTTTGGCTTAGCACAAGGTCATATTTTTCTCTGACTGTTAATGACATCTTTACACTAAATCCATTGGATGTTTGATGTGTACTGATTGATATTTTAGTGTTAGATACATGATTTTTTTATTAGTTGTTATTGGCTTTGAACTAGCTTTCAGTAACTGCAAGTACTCTCAGATCTGTACTTTGTGTCTTTTTTGTTGTGGAGATGTATAAATAATACCAAACCATGTATGGTCTGTGTTTTTGTAAGTTGTCTTTTCTGCTATGTATTGATCTAATGAGTTAAGCCCTTTTCAACTGATTTTACAGTTTGTTCATATGTTGTGCTGTTAACCACTGTCCCAGGTTAGGGGGAGGATTGGGTGCCCGCACACATGTTTAACCCAGCCAAATTCTTTATGTGCCTTTCCCAAGTTAGGAGCCTGTAGTTCAGTGATTGTGGTTGATTCATGTCTTTCATATATATGTTCTTTACAAATTGTTTTGTTATAAATTAGGCTGTTAGTTTTCTCAATTGAATTGTTTCGCATTTTTTCATGTCAGGGCCTTTTATAGCCAACTATTTGGAATGGGTTTTTCTCATTGTTGAAGGCCGTATGGTTGCCTAGAATTGCTTACATCCACTTCATTTAAACTTTAGTGGATAGTTGTCTCATTGGCAATCTTACCACATCTCCTTACTTTTATATTAAACAATAAGTGAGAGGATGAGTATCACCATCTGTTATGCATGCACTACCTGCCATGTGAATCCACACTTAGTCAAAATGTCGCAATCAGGAATGAAAGGGTGACTGCTTGTGAATGGAGAGATAAACACTCTGATTTACATTCCTGTCAAAAATTACACAATATGCAGACAGGTATTTCAGTGTGAATCCTACAAAATCACCAGTATTCACCAAAAAGAGATATTTAAAAAAAAAACATTTATGTATCATGAACAGTTTTTCAGAGTACAACAACATACTGATGATTAATATTTTTTTCTTATGTTGGGATCAATTTTCTTGGTTGGGAAAAACTAGAGGCTCTCAAGAGCCTGTGTCGCTCACCTTGGTCTATGTGCATATTAAACAAAGGACACAGATGGATTCATGACAAAATTGTGTTTTGGTGATGGTGATGTGTTTGTAGATCTTACTTTACTGAACATTCTTGCTCCTTACTATTATCTCTATCTATGATGAACTTGCCCCAGTAGTTACAGTGGAAAATATTTTGTAAAAATTTACAAAAATTTACAAAGTTTATGAAAATTGAAAAATTGACTATAAAGGGCAATAACTCCTTAAGGGGTCAATTGACAATTTTGGTCATGTTGACTTATTTGTAGATCTTACTTTGCTGTACATTATTGCAGTTTACAGTTTATCTCTATCTATAATAATATTCAAGATAATAACCAAAAGCTGCAAAATTTTCTTAAAATTACCAATTCAGGGGCAGCAACCTACCAACGTGTTGCCTGATTGGTCTGAAAATTTCAGGGCAGATAGATCTTGACCTAATGAACAATTTTATCCCGTCAGATTTGCTCTTAAAGCTTTGGTTTCAGAGATATGAGCCAATAAAATGCTCCGCTCGGCACAGCTTGATACGACCGCAGAGGTCAAACCCTGAACAGTTGGGGCAATTATGGACACAACATTCAAGCTTGATACAGCACTTTATTTGGACTGTAATTAAATATTTGACACAGCATAGGTTTCTGACACAGAATGAATGTGGTCTAAGAACTTAAAAATTTTGAATTTACCTTTTCAAACCATATCATTATTATTTGCTTTTATATATAAATCAGAAATAACCAATTTTAAAGAAAAAAAGGAAAAAAAAATCCCCTCCCCAAATTTTTTGAACCCCCTTATGATTCATCATCCCCAAACTCAATCCCACCTTCCCTTTGTGGTATAGTACCTTGCAGTACAATTTCAGAGAGATCCATACACTTGAACACAAGTTATTGTCTGGAAACTAGAAAAATGCTTGTTTTTTTACTCCTTTTTGGCCCCTTATTCCTAAACGTTTTGGGCAATTACCCCCAAACTCAATTCCAGCTTTCCCTTTGTGATATGGAACCTTGTAGTACAATTTCAGAAAGATCCATACACTTACACACAAGTTATTGTCATGAAACTAGAAAATTGCTTGTTTTTTGCCCCTTTTTTGGCCCCTAATTCCTAAAATTTGGAGGCAATTACCCCAAAATCAATCCCAGCATTCCCTTTGTGATATGTAACCCTGTGGTACAATGTCAGAGAGATCCATACACTAACACACAAGTTATGTCTGGAAGTTACAAAAATGCTTACTTTTGTCCCCTTTTTTGGCCCCTAATTCCTTAACTGTTGGTACCATAACCCCCAAAATCAATCGCAACCTTCCTTTTGTGGTACAAAATGTATTGAACCTTTTTGTAAAATTTCATAGAGATCCATTCACTTAAACTAAAGTTAGAGTGCGAAAACCAATTAGTCTTCAGACTACGACGACGATGCCAACGTCATACCAATATACGACGGCAAAATTTTTTTTTGCGGTCTTATAAAAACTGCATTTTACCCTATGTACTATTTTTTAGCCATGTCAGCCATCTTGGTTCGCAGGTGGGGTCATAGGACACATTTTTTGAACTAGTTACCCTAATGATGATTGTGGACAAGTTTGGTTAAATTTGTCTTAGTAGTTTCAGAGGAGAATATTTTTGTACAAGATTACAAAAATTTACGAAAAATGGTTAAAAATTGACTATAAAGGGCAATAACTCCTTAAGGGGTCAACTGACCATTTTAGTCAAGTTGACTTATTTGTAGATCTTACTTTGCTGAACATTATTGCTGTTTATAGTTTATCTCTATCTATAATAATATTCAAGATAATAACCAATAAAATGCTCCGCAGGGCGCAGCTTGATACATCCGCAGAGGTCGAACCCTAAACAGTTGGGGCAAGTATGAACACATCATTCAAGCTTGATACAGCTCTGAATTTGGATTGTGATTAAATATTTGACACAGCATAGGTTACTGACACAGAATGAATGTGGTCTAAGAACTTAAAAATTTTAAATTGGACATTCACCTATTATGGTCAAATATCCAAAATCTAAATTCATGGTTAGATTCAGCATATCAAAGAACCCCAAGAATTCAATTTTTGATGAAATCAAACAAAGTTTAATTTAGGACCCTTTTGACCTCAATGTGAACAAAGTTGATAACGGGGCCCAAAAATCAAAAATCTAAATACATGGTTAGATTCAGCATATCAAAGAACCCCATATATTCAATTTTTGTTGAAATCAAACAAAGTTTAATTTTGGACCCCAATTTGGACCAACTTGAAAACTGGGCCCATAATCAAAAATCTAAATACATGTTAAGATTCAGCATATCAAAGAACCCTAAGAATTCAATTTTTGTTAAAATCAAACTAAGTTTAATTTTGGACCCTTTGGACCTTAATGTAGACCAATTTGAAAACGGAACCAAAAATTAAGAATCTAAATACACGGTTAGATTCGGCATTTCAAAGAACCCCAATAATTCAATTTTTGATGAAATCAAACAAAGTTTAATTTTGGACCCTAAGGACCTCAATGTGGACCAATTTAAAAACGGGGACCAAAATCCAAAAACTTAATACACGGTTAGATTCAGCATATTAAAGAACCCCAAGAATTCAAGAATAAAACCCCATTGAAATTGGTCAAGAAATAAGCAATTTATAAAAAGTATCTTCTTTTGCACAATACTGTGCAACTGAATATTTCTTGCTATTGCGCAATACTGTACAATTGACAAGTTCTTGCTATTGCGCAATATTGTGCTATTGGATATTTCTTGCTATTGCGCAATACTGTCCAATTGAAGATTTCTTGCTATTGCGCAATACTGTGCATTGGAAGATTTCTTGCTATTGTGCAACACTGTGCAATTGAAAATTTCTTGCTATTGCACAATACTTATTATATAATAATTTACACATCCTGTTTGGTGTGTATCTCCCACCATATCATTATTATTTGCTTTAAATATAAATCAAAAATAACCAACTAAAAATGGAAAATTTTAAAAGAAAAAAAAAGGAAAAAAAGAAAAAAAAGGAAACCCCCCCCCCAATTTTTTGAAACCCCTTATGATTCATCACCCCCAAACTCAATCCCAGCCTTCCCTTTTATAGTATGGTACCTTGCAGTACAATTTCAGAGAGATCCATACACTTGAACACAAGTAATTGTCTGGAAACTAGAAAAAATGCTATTTTTGGCCCCTTCTTCCTAAACGTTTTGGGCAATTACCCCCAAACTCAATTCCAGCTTTCCCTTTGTGATATGGAACCTTGTAGTTCAATTTCAGAAAGATCCATACACTTACACACAAGTTATTATCATGAAACTAGAAAAATGCTTGTTTTTTGCCCCTTTTTTGGCCCCTAATTCCTAAAATTTTGAGGCAATTACCCCAAAAATCAATCCCAGCATTCCCTTTGTGATATGGAACCTTGTGGTACAATGTCAGAGAGATCCATACACTAACACACAAGTGATGTCTGGAAGTTACAAAAATGCTTATTTTTGGCCCCTTTTTTGCCCCTAATTCCTTAACTGTTGGTACCATAACCCCCAAAATCAATCCCAACCTTCCTTTTGTGGTATTGAACCTTATGGTAAAATTTCACGGAGATCCATTCACTTAAACTAAAGTTAGAGTGAGAAAACCAATGTGTCTTCGGACGACGACGCAGGACGACGAAGACGACGACGATGACGACGCCAACGTCATACCAATATACAACCAAAAATTTTTTAATTTATGCGGTCGTATAAAAACGGCAAAATTTCCTTAAAATTACCAATTCAGGGGCAGCAACCCAACAATGGGTTGTCCGAAACATCTGAAAATTTCAGGGCAGATAGATCTTGACCTGATAAACAATTTTACTCCAGTCAGATTTGCTCTTATTGCTTTGGTTTCAGAGATATAAGCTAAAATCTACATTTTACCCCTATGTTCTATTTTTAGCCATGGCGGCCATCTTGGTTGGTTAGCCGGGTCACCGGACACATTTTTTTAACTAGATTCCCCAATGATAATTGTGGCCAAGCTTGGTTAAATTTGGCCAAGTAGTTTCAGAGGAGAAGATTGTTGTAAAAGTTAACGGACGACGGATGACTGACGCCAAGTGATGAGAAAAGCTCACTTGGCCCTTTGGGCCAGGTGAGCTAAAAATCATATTTCAATGGTATATACTTATTTAATAAATCCAAGAAAATTGATATACATGTACCACAAATATTGATGTATCCACACTAACTACACTCCTGACATATGATACAACAACTTACCTGATGAGACATCAAAATTCTCCTCTTGATAAACACTTCTTTCTGACCGTGCGTCTAGATTCTCAGATCCTGTAATGAAATGCAAAATAATCAAGACTATTGTTAACGAAATATGTTTGCGTCTTTCAAATAACATTAACGGTACCAATTTTTCTGCACCAGATGCACATTTTGAAAACAAAAGTCTCTTCAGTGATGCTCGGGACCAAAATACTTGAAAATCCAAAGCTTATTAAAAATATGAAGAGCTTCAAAGCTATTTCTTTATTATTTCTTCATACAAATGCAGAAACTGAAAAAAAATATGCTAGGATGGAGAAACATTAACTGTATCATTAAAAATTAAATAAGAATAAAATGCTTCGCTGGGCGCAGCTTGATACGACCGCAGAGGTCGAACCCTGAACAGTTGGGGCAAGTATGGACACAACATTCAAGCTTGATACAGCTCTGAATTTGGATTGTGATTAAATATTTGACACAGCATAGGTTTCTGACACAGAAAGAATGTGGTCTAAGAACTTCAATTTTTTTAATTTACCTATTATGGTCCAATGTCCAAAATCAAAATACATGGTTAGATTCAGCATATCAAAGAACCCCATATATTCAATTTTTGTTGAAATCAAACAAAGTTTAATTTTGGACCCCAACTTCGACAAACTTGAAAACTGGTCCCATAATAAAAAATCTAAACACATGTTTAGATTCAGCATATCAAAGTACCCCAAGAATTCAATTTTTGTTAAAATCAAACTAAGTTTAATTTTGGACCCTTTGGACCTTAATGTAGACCAATTTAAAAAATGGGACCCAAAATTAAAAATCTAAAAACACGGTTAGATTTGGCATATCAAAGAACCCCAATAATTAAATTTTTGATGAAATCAAACAAAGTTTAATTTTGAACCCTTTTGACCTCAATATGAACCAATTTGATAGCGGGCCCACAAAATAAAAAATCTAAATACATGGTAAGATTCAGCATATCAAAGAACCCCATATATTCAATTTTTGTTGAAATCAAACAAAGTTTAATTTTGGACCCCAATTTGGACCAACTTGAAAACTGGGCCAAAAATCTAAAATCTAAATACATGTTTAGATTCAGCATATCAAAGAACCCCATATATTCAATTTTTGTTGAAATCAAACAAAGTTTAATTTTGGACCCCAACTTGGACCAACTTGAAAACTGGTCCCATAATCAAAAATCTAAACACATGTTTAGATTCAGCATATCAAAGGACCCCAAAAATTCAATTTTTGCTAAAATCAAACTAAGTTTAATTTTGGACCCTTTGGACCTTAATGTAGACCAATTTAAAAAACGGGACCCAAAATTAAAAATCTAAATACACGGTTAGATTTGGCATATCAAAGAACCCCAATAATTAAATTTTTGATGAAATCAAACAAAGTTTATTTTGGACCCTTTTGACCTCAATATGAACCAATTTGATAGCGGGCCCACAAATAAAAAATCTAAATACATGGTAAGATTCAGCATATCAAAGAACCCCATATATTCAATTTTTGTTGAAATCAAACAAAGTTTAATTTTGGACCCCAATTTCGACCAACTTGAAAACTGGGCCAAAAATCAAAAATCTAAATACATGTTTAGATTCAGCATATCAAAGAACCCCATATATTCAATTTTTGTTGAAATCAAACAAAGTTTAATTTTGGACCCCAACTTGGACCAACTTGAAAACTGGGCCCATAATCAAAAATCTAAACACATGTTTAGATTCAGCATATCAAAGAACCCCAAGAATTCAATTTTTGTTAAAATCAAACTAAGTTTAATTTTGGACCCTTTGGACCTTAATGTAGACCAATTTAAAAACGGGACCCAAAATTAAAAATCTAAATACACGGTTAGATTTGGCAAATCAAAGAACCCCAATAATTCAATTTTTGATGAAATCAAACAAAGTTTAATTTCGGACCCTTTTGACCTCAATATGAACCAATTTGATAGCGGGTCCACAAATAAAAAATCTAAATACATGGTTAGATTCAGCATATCAAAGAACCCCAAGAATTCAATTTTTGATGAAATCAAACAAAGTTTAATTTTGGACCCTTTTGACCTCAATGTGGACAAAGTTGATAACGGGGCCCAAAAATCAAAAATCTAAATACATGGTTAGATCCAGCATATCAAAGAACCCCATATATTCAATTTTTGTTGAAATCAAACAAAGTTTAATTTTGGACCCCGATTTGGACCAACTTGAAAACTGGGTCCATAATCAAAAATCTAAATACATGTTTAGATTCAGCATATCAAAGAACCCTAAAAATTCACTTTTTGTTAAAATCAAACTAAGTTTAATTTTGGACCCTTTTGACCTTAATGTAGACCAATTTGAAAACGGAACCAAAAATTAAGAATCTAAATACACGGTTAGATTCGGCATATCAAAGAACCCCAATAATTCAATTTTTGATGAAATCAAACAAAGTTAAATTTTGGACCCTTTGGACCTCAATGTGGACCAATTGAAAAACGGGGCCCAAAATCCAAAAACTTAATACACGGTTAGATTCAGCATATTAAAGAACCCCAAGAATTCAAGAATAAAACCCCATTGAAATTGATCAAGAAATAAGCAATTTATACGAAGAATCTTCTTTTGCACAATACTGTGCAATTGAATATTTCTTGCTATTGTGCAATACTGTACAATTGACAATTTCTTGCTATTGCACAATATTGTGCTATTGGATATTTCTTGCTATTGCGCAATACTGTGCAATTTAAGATTTCTTGCTATTGCGCAATACTGTGCAATTGAAGATTTCTTGCAATTGTGCAATACTGTGCAATTGAAAATTTCTTGCTATTGCACAATACTTATTATATAATAATTTACACATCCTGTTTGGTGTGTATCTCCTACCATATCATTATTATTTGCTTTTAAATATTAATCAGAAATAACCAACTTAAAATGGAAAATTTTAAAAGAAAAAAAAAAGGAAAAAAAGAAAAAAAAAATCCCCCCCCCCCAAATTTTTTGAACCCCCTTATGATTCATCACCCCCAAACTCAATCCCAGCCTTCCCTTTGTGGTATGGTACCTTGCAGTACAATTTCAGAGAGATCCATACACTTGAACACAAGTTATTGTCTGGAAACTAGAAAAATGCTTATTTTTGGCCCCTTTTTGGCCCCCAATTCCTAAACGTTTCGGGCAATTACCCCCAAACTCAATTCCAGCTTTCCCTTTGTGATATGGAACCTTGTAGTACAATTTCAGAAATATCCAAACACTTACACACAAGTTATTGTCATGAAACTAGAAAAATGCTTGTTTTTTGCCCCTTTTTTGGCCCCTAATTCCTAAAATTTTGAGGCAATTACCCCCAAAATCAATTACAGCCTTCCCTTTGTGATATGGAACCTTGTGGTACAATGTCAGAGAGATCCATACACTTACACACAAGTTATTGTCTGGAAGTTACAAAAATGCTTATTTTTGGCCCCTAATTCCTTAACTGTTGGTACCATAACCCCCAAAATCAATCCCAACCTTCCTTTCGTGGTATTGAACCTTATGGTAAAATTTCATGGAGATCCATTCACTTAAACTAAAGTTAGAGTGCGAAAACCAATGTGTCTTCAGACGACGACGACGACGACGACGACGACGACGACGACGACGCCAACGTCATACCAATATACGACCAAAAAATTTTCAATTTTTGCGGTCGTATAAAAAGTGAATTCTCTTTCAGTTGGCTATAAATATTAAGGCAAACTGAAAAAGAATTTACTTTTTCTATAAATTAATTTTTAATGGTAGCAAAAAGTTGAAGACATTCTCTGAAGTTGGTCAAAGGGAGGTAATTCAAAACAATATCAACATGTTTAAATTCAGTGTCAGACTTCTAAATGTGTTTTTTTTTATCTTTTTTGAGGTTTGTTTTTCTAGATGATTTTAGAAATCTGTGATAAGGGTTCAAAAGCAAATAACCATGAGCAGCTAATCATGGATAAAATTTGAATCTAAAGTGCAATTTTTAATTCTTTTGTTCACAAGTAGAATTTATGAACCTTACAATCTCAAATAAAATGCTCTGCTGGGCGCAGCTTGATACGACCGCAGAGGTTGAACCCTGAACAGTTGGGGCAAGTATGGACACAACATTCAAGCTTGATACAGCTCTGAATTTGGATTGTGATTAAATATTTGACACAGCATAGGTTTCTGACACAGAATGAATGTGGTCTAAGAACTTAAAAATTTTTAATTTACCTATTCAAACCATATCATTATTATTTGCTTTTATATATAAATCAGAAATAACCAATTTAAAATGGAAAACTTTAAAGAAAAAAAAGGAAAAAAAGGAAAAAAAATCCCTCCCCCAAATTTTTTGAACCCCCTTATGATTCATCACCCCCAAACTCAATCCCAGCCTTCCCTTTGTGGTATGGTACCTTGCAGTACAATTTCAGAGAGATCCATACACTTGAACACAAGTTATTGTCTGGAAACTAGAAAAATGCTTTTTTTTGGCCCCTTATTCCTTAACGTTTCGGGCAATTACCCACCAAACTCTATTCCAGCTTTTCCTTTGTGATATGGAACCTTGTAGTACAATTTCGGAAAGATCCATACACTTATACACAAGTTATTGTCATGAAACTAGAAAAATGCTTGTTTTTTGCCATTTTTTTGGCCCCCAATTCCTACAATTTTGTAGCAATTACCCCCAAAATCAATCCCAGCATTCCCTTTGTGATATGTAACCTTGTGGTACAATGTCAGAGAGATCCATACACTAACACACAAGTTATGTCTGGAAGTTACAAACATGCTTATTTTTGGCCCCTAATTCCTTAACTGTTGGTACCATAACCCCCAAAATCAATCCCAACCTTCATTTTGTGGTATTGAACCTTATGGTAAAATTTCACGGAGATCCATTCACTTAAACTAAAGTTAGAGTGCGAAAACCAATGTGTCTGAAGACGACGACGACGCCGCCAACGTCATACCAATATATGACCGCAAAATTTTTTGGTGGTCGTATAAAAATCAAAAAGCTTTTAAACAAGCATGGAAATATATGCATATCCTCAGGAGTCTACACAATCTTACTGGGATTTCCAACTTCAAATTCAAATCAGTTGGTTTGAATATTCATTTATGAAAATTCAATTTCTACATCTACATGATCTATGTGTAGGTTTTTTAGTTTCTATTGGCACTCTGTATATAATTTTTGAATCATGAAACTCAATATTCTGTAATTTTTTCATATCAGTTTAAAACTTTTAAAGAGCAAAAATCTCACCCTGTTCATTCTCAGATTCTGGTTCTAGACTGAGTCTAACAAACTCTTCAATGGCATCTGTAAATCCTAATCGTCGAAAAGCATTTAAGAGACCATCTGCAGTTGGACTGGTACCCAATCTATTTTTCTGTTCAATAAACCAGTGTCTAAGGAAGCCATGGACTCTCAGCAAATTTGTTGGATTTGCCTGATTTATTTCAGATATGCGTTCAAAATCAATCATCAATTCTGGAGCAAGTTGCATCCAGTCCTCTCTTCTTGCTATGACTTCAGAAATCCCAACCAGTTTACTTTCAGTTATTGACAGTTGTACCTCTAACAAATATAATTTCAAATTAAATCACATGTGTTTGTTTTTATGGTGTTCTTCTGCACAGTAAATTAGTTACACTTAGGTTCATCCAGTTTTTTTTTTAAATCTTCAAAAACAAGTGATCTAAGTACATGAAATTCACCTACAGTAATATCAACACTGAGTTCACACCTCGCTTGTAGTAGCAAGGTGTGTTAGACTTTGATATTTGAGTGCTAAAAGAGGCATTTAACACCAGCAATCATTAATCAATCATTCTAGTACGATCTTAAAAATAGTAAAATTAATAGTAAAAGCCGAGTTTTCAGTTACACAACAAATCCTGTTTTTGCACCCATATTTCATTAATATTGTGTTTTCTAATGGGTTATCTTTAATTTACTTTAAATTTTATTTCCATTTCAAATCTTACAAATTTAAAATTTCAGTCTGCTATATAAATTTCAAAAAGTTTGGTTAAAGCTTTTGAATGTACACTTACCTACTGCCTGACTGGTTAAGCATTTATATAAAAATTAAAACAACTTAGGCTTTAAATTTTTTTTACGAAATTCCAAGGGCCTTAATTACATCTTTAAAACACAAATACGAATTCAATCCATAAATTACCATAATACACTTACCAATTTTTTTTCTCACTATCTAAATTTATTTAATTAAAAAAAATCCTTAACAGTTGGATTTTGGAATGACAGCAAAAATGCAAGGATGGACAGACTCTTAACACAGTATAATCTGGTCACTCTCTCTCTGATGGAGACATAAAAATCTGACAGATATTACCCATTTTCAAGTTTGTAACAAGATACAACATTTTGTGTTGCCTTACTTATATCTATACAAATTGCATTTATGCATTGATTTTTATTTATATTACCTTCAGAACTAATATCCTGTGAACTTCTGTCTGACAACGACACAGTTCCTGCAGTTAACCCACTGTCTCCAGGGGATTGCTCCTCTGTAACAACATCATTACGAGGTACCAGATGATTCACTGGTACCTCACTACTTATTCCTGTTCTATTAACAGGTGAAGGTTCTGCTGGTGGCTGGTTCCTAATACCTATCACAGATGGGTAGTAACCAGTTGATGGTTGTTCTTGCTGTGAATACAAAAAAACTGGATCCTCCTGTTGACTTGGAACCAGTCTGTCACGTTCCCTGTCTAACACTTTAAGTCTTTTCGCCATGTTACTATCCACATTACCATCGCGTCTACCATTTTTGTTTGATCTGGTACCCTGAATGTCTACTATTTCTTGCTGACTTGGAATAACACTGGCAGTTGAATTTTGGAATTGCCCTAAATGTAATGGTATTTGGTTCCCTGTAAATTGTACTGAATGCTCAGTAGCTCGTGTAGGTCTCTGTTGTTCCACTGTGTAAGCAGGAGGGATATGACCTTCACCTTGGTATTCTGGTTCCATTGCTATTTCAATTGTTCTGGGTATCTGTCCTTCTTCCACTGGTCCATATCCTAACTCTGTATTTCCTCCTGTTGGCTGAGCTCCTAGCAAAAAAATACAAGTTTATAGATCAGATTAAGGATGTTCGCTACTCTGTTTCAAAGTAACAAGCTTTTTAAAAGACTGTTATAAATTGATAGTACAAATGTATATGAATAATGGAACTTAAAAATTCGTAAGGGTTCTGCGGAACCCAGTGTCTCGCCTACTTTTGCTGTTAATCGCAGGCTCAACAAAAATGAGGAAAAAAATTCAATAAAAATATTCCTTTAGATACTATCTTTTGATTGTAAGAAGCTTCTGTCAAAGTTTGGTATAAATCCAGGATAGTTTATGAATCTAATAAATGTTTTAAAAACTTTAACTGCAGACTGTAATTAATGTCAACTGGAAGAAAAACTAAGTCCATTTATAGTTAAAATACGGTTAAACAGGTACAAATTTTAACAAAATTTCCTTCTAGATACTAGCTTTTGATCATAAACAAGCTTCTGTCCAAATTTGGTACAAATCCAGGATAGTTTAAGAAAGTTATTAAAATTTTAAAAACTTTAACCAGAGTGAAAATATTGCTTCCTGGCAGAAAAACTAAGTCCATTTATAAGTAAAATACGGAAAAAATGAAATTTTTTTTTTAACAAATTTACTTCTGGATACTATCATGATCATAAACAAGCTTCTGTCCAAGTTTGGTAGAAATCAAGGATAGTTTAAGAAAGTTATTAAAATTTCAAAAACTTTAACCACAGAGTGAATATTTGTGGATGCCGACGACGACGACGCTGACGGAATGTAGGATCGCTATGTCTCGCTTTTTCGACTAAAGTCGAAGGCTCGACAAAAAGCAGAAAAAAATGAAGGGTCCGGGTGTTTGTTTTTGAGATAAAAGCCATTGAAAATTTTGCGGGAAAGGATTCTCTCTAGATTTTTCATACATTTAATATTGACACCTTTTTTCTTTCAAAAACTATGAAAGATTCAAAGAATAACAAGGATTTTATAAGATTTTCAAATATGGCTTTTTAAACTATATGTTATAAAACTGTGAAAAGAAAAGTAGGGGTTAGCAGGCTAATTTTTTTAATGGCACTACATAGATAACACCAGAGGATTCCAAATATCTGGCAAAAACTCAAAAATCAAGTGGAGCGAACATCCTTAATAAAAACTTTATAATTCGGTTTTATAATTTACATGCACTAGGAATCAATTATGAACTGAAATTGTCATTTTGATCTGAACAAATCTTAAAAATCATCTTTCAACATGTTCAAGGGCAATAACTCCTATAAGGGATCAATTGACAATTTCTATGATGTTGATTTATTTGTAAGTCCTTACTTTGCTTTACATTTTTGCTTTATGAAGTTTCTCTCGATCTATAATAGTTTCCGTAATAAAAAATGAAAAAAATTGTCTCTTAAAAGTAATAAATCCAATAAGGGTCTAATTGACAATTTCGGTAATGTTGGCTTATTTGAAAGTCTTACTTTGCTGAACATTTTTACCATTCAATATCATAGTTTCCGAAAAAAAAACTGACAATTCTAATACAAATAGTCTTTCAAGGGCAACAACTCCTAACAGATCAATTGACGAATTCAGCCAAAGGACTTATTGGTAGATCTTATTTTTTTATCTATAATAATGTTCAAGATGATAACCTAAAACTGAGAAATAACTCCAAATTTGTGTGACTGATTAGTCTGAAAATCTTCCTTCATGTAGATCTTTACATGATGACCATTTTACTTCCCCCCTCCCCCTTTCCAGTTTATGTTCTATTTTTAGACATGGAGACCATGTTTGTTGACTAATAAAAAAAACACAAACTTTATACAAGATACCATAAAGGTCATTCACCCCAAGAAGTTGGTTTAGAAGTTTCAGAGAAGATCTTTGAAAAAGTTTACAACTATGACGAAGGACAACAACCACAGACAACAACAGACACCAAGTTATGACAATAGCCCTTTGGGCCAGGTGTGCTAATAAAAGTTTGAAAACACCATAAATATAAATTTAAAAAAAATCTTGAACATAGTTGTAAATAACATGAATAAGAAATTTAACCTTACATTCCATAACAAAATATTAAAATCAGCTTAAAATTAATTTTCCATGATTATGATCAACAGTCAGGGGACTTATTGAAATAAGTGATTTTTAAATCACTTATTTAAGTAGCAAATTGGAAGTTTTGTCACAAATTGTGATTTTGTAGTTCTACCAAAATTTTAAACACATAGGTATAGATAATATCTTTTCATTAGTAAAATTGAAAAAAAAATGAACTTTTTGCTCCTTTTAAGCAGCAAGGTTTATGCCTTTGATGCAATCATTTAGCTGCAAATTCTATTTTAGTTGAAAAAATGCTATAAAAATGGCTTTACATAATAAACTGATACTTTCTTAACAGATTTTTCCCAGCAGTGGGAGTATTTTTCCTGTAAAATTCAAGGTTTCATCTTATAGATTATGTAATAACATTCTACTGTTCGCGATCAAAATTTCACTGTTCGGGGGTGTTGAAATTAATGGGGGTTATTAAAATAATGATACTTAAAGAAGTGATTTTTTGGAAGGAAATTGAGGTATGAAACTTAAACAAGTGATTTTTATGTCATTATCCTAGATTTAGTACAAGGTCATCACCTGACATGACCCGGTCATCCTATCAACACAGATGTTGGTTCTGATAATTTCAGCAACATAATTAGTCCCTGCATGGATCATTAGTATTCTATATATATAAAGCTACAATCAAATTAAATCACTTAGTCTAGTGATTAATTTGTACTACTTAAACAGGTCATTATTAAAGAAAGACAACTCTTACTTCCAACCTTTATGGACATAATGTTACTTGAATCAGTGATTTAGAAAATCACTCATTTAAGTAAGTCCCCTGACTGATCAAAGAAAAGAAATGGCATGGCCATGTCCAATCTAAAGGATAAGTACAAGTGGGTTTTTTTTTTAAGTTTTCCATCTCTATGCCAAGTCCTAACGTGGATGGATGGATATGACAAAATCCACCTTACCTTTAGTGTAATGGGTCTATATATGAGGGTCTGGATTGGGTATGCAGAATAGAGAGTAATGGACAAAGATTAAAGAAAAGAGAATAAAGGGTGCTAAAATATAAAGAATAGAGGATAATGGCAAAAAATTTATTGATAAAGAATACAGAACAATGACCTAAAAGTAAAAAGAATACATAATTGAAAGACAGCCCATCCAGACCCTCATATATTTTTGACAAGCTGTGGTACCTTGATAGGCTCTGACTTTGGTGATTAAATCTCCTCGATCCATCATCTTCAACAGTTTGTACAATACTTCAACATTAACAGGTGATAAATCACCAGATCTCTCAAGCTGGATAAATACATCACAGATAGATTTAATTTTATCATGTTTAGATCGGGGAATTACTGAAGACAAGGTGAAAAGAGCCGTCTTCAAATCCGCAGTCTCCATTTCTTCAGCGATTTCAAACAGTAGTAATCTTAAAAATAATAAACAAACATTTAAATGTTAGGAGAGAAGGTGTGCCATTGTGGTTTAAGTATTTGTTGGTCATTGTTATATACATGTATGTATTTGCATGTTCCATGTCAAGGACCTTGTAGGTAGTTGTTGTATGTCATGATGTCTTAATGTTTTATGTTCTTATGAGTTTGTTGAGTGGAAGGCAACCTTGTTTCTCATCTCTTTTCTCGATGGATAACATATATGCAATCGGACATTTATTGTCAAATCATTGGGATTTGTGCCCAAAAAAATCATTTGATTCATAAATCATTGTAAATTGGCTGAATTGACATATGTTTTCTCATGTGCTCAACATGCTCAATGTCGAAGGCCGTACTGTACAGTGGCCTATTATTGCCTACATCCTCTTTATTTGGTTAGAAAGAAGTTAGGTAGAAATGAGAGAAAATAAGATGAGGTAATCAGCTACTGATGGCAGATATTTGATACTCAGTCAAGTTAAGTCATATCTTTTCTAGACGTTAGGCCATTTAGATCTTGACATATATCTATTTTAACATGTTTAAAGACACTTGACCATGACCTATAGATTGTTGAAGAAAAATAGTTTAACCTATTTTGAAGACACCTGACCATGACCTATAGATTATTGAAGAAAGTTAGTTGAATTCTAGATGTTTTTTCTTCTTTCTTTCATCTTTTTTTTAGGGGGGTGAGTGTAGGTGGGTTGTATCTTTGGGTTGCTGTCTCATAGACATATATAACATGTACAACACCTCTTCTCTAAGAATCTTATTAATATCAATTTTACTAAAGCTACTACAAATTTTTATTTCGATACAAGGACAGGTCATATTGTCAAGAAAATCTAAAAAGAAATAAAACTAGAGGCTCACAAGAGCCTGTGTCGCTCACCTGATTCTACTTTGGTTTTGGAAATCATGTAAAAATAGATTAAAATCATAACAGATACCCTAATAATGAGTGAGGCCATATTTGGTTTAATATTGGTCCTGTAATTTGATAAAAAATCCTGGTGGCCATCTTGAACAGTAAATCGGCAACAAAGTAGCAACACTTCATCAGTACCTCATAAGAAACATTTATGCCATGCTTTGGTTTCATTCCATTCAGTGCATTTGTATGTATTTCCCATAGGGTCTTATGTTAAAGGAAGTCCCCCCATTGGCGGCCATCATGGATGAAGGATCAGCTTCAAAGTAACAAAACTTAGTCAGCACCTCATAAGGAACATTCATGCCATGTTTGGTTTCAATCCATTCAGTATGTGGTTCTCTATAAGAAGACATTTGTATGTATTGCCCATAGGGTCCTTTGTTAAACATTGTCCCCATCTGGTGGCCATCGTGGATGAAGGATCAGCTTCAAAGTAACAACACTTTGTCAGCACCTCAAAAGGAACATGCATGCCATGTTTGGTTTCATTCCATTCAATGGTTCTCTAAAAGAAAACATTTGTATGTATTTCTCATAGGGTCCTATGTTAAACTAAGTCCTCCGCTGGCGGCCATCTTAGATTATGGATCGGCTTCATAGTAACAACTCTTGGTCAGCACCTCACAAGGAACATTCATGCCATGTTTGGTTTCATTCCATTCAGTGGTTCTCTAAAAGAAGACATTTGTATGTATTTCCCATAGGGTCCTATGTTAAACTAAGTCCCCCGCTGGCGGCCATCTTGGATTATGGATCGGCAAATAAAAATATTTGTGTGGTTTCAGTTACCCTACCTACCCTACTTTTTAGTCTTAATAATAGCCTCCCCTAAAGATTTTTTTGTCATTTTTCATTAAGCACTGTTAAAGTCAGAATGTTGCTCCCATAGACATGATACATTTTGTAGACTCAATGTAAAAAAAAACAATAAAATTAAAAAAAATCCCTACCTACCTACCCTAACTTTTTTTTGGATGTAACTGGAACTACACATACTATTTTATTTGGCCTAATAATGATTGAGGCCAAATTTGGTTTAATATTGGCCCCGTAATCATGGTAATATAATCAAAAGCAGAAGACTTTTGTAAAGTTTACAGAAATTACCAATAAATTCCTTGAAATTGTAGAAAATGACTTTATGAGAACAATGACAAATCAGCTACAAAGTAATAACACTTGGTCAGCACCTCAAAAGAAACATTTCTTCCATGTTTGGTTTCAATCCATTAAGCAGTCACTTGTATATATTTCCCATATCTAGGGTCCTTTGTTAAACTAAGTCCCCCGATGGCAGCCATCTTGGTTGATGGATTTGCTACAAAGTAACAACCCTTGGTCAGCACCTCATAAGGAACATTCATGCCATGTTTGGTTTCATTCCATTCAGGTTTTCTTCAAAAGAAAGCTTTTGTACACATTTCCCATAGGGTCCTATGTTAAACTAAGTCCCCGCTGACAGCCATCTTGGATGTTTGATCGCCTACAAAGTTACAACCCTTGGTCAGCACCTCATAAGGAACATTCATGCCATGTTTTATTTCATTCCATTTAGTGGTTCTCTAAAAGAAGACATTTGTATGTATTTCCCATAGGGTCCTATGTTAAACTAAGTCCCTCTCTGGCGGCCATCTTGGATGATGGATCGGCTTCAAAGTAACAACACTTAGTAAGCACCTCATAAGGAACATTCATGCAATGTTTGGTTTCATTCCATTCAGTGGTTCTCTAAAAGAAGACATTTGTATGTATTGTCCATAGGGTACTATGTTAAACGAAGTCCCCCGCTGACGGCCATCTTGGATGATGGATCGGCTTCAAAGTAACAACACTTAGTCAGCACCTCATAAGGAACATTCATGCCATGTTTGGTTTCATTCCATTCAGTGGTTCTCTAAAAAATGACATTTGTATGTATTGTCCATAGGGTCCTATGTTAAAGGAAGTCCCCCGCTGGCGGCCATCTTGGATGATTGATCGCCTACAAAGTTACAAAACTTGGTCAGCACCTCATAAGGAACATGCATGCCATGTTTTATTTCATTCCATTTAGTGGTTCTCTAAAAGAAGATATTTGTATTTATTTCCCGTAGGGTCCTATGTTAAACTAAGTCCCCCTTTGGTGGCCATCTTGGATGATGGATCGGCTTTAAAGTAACAATACTTAGTCAGCACCTCATAAGGAACATTCATGCCATGTTTGGTTTCATTCCATTCAGTGGTTCTCTAAAAGAAGACATTTGTATGTATTGTCTATAGGGTCCTATGTTAAAGGAATTCTCCGCTGGCGGTCATCTTGGATGATGGATCAGCTTCAAAGTAACAACACTTGGTCAGCACCTCATAAGGAACATTCATGCCATGTTTGGTTTCATTCCATTCAGTGGTTCTCTAAAAGAAGACATTTGTATGTATTGTCCATAGGGTCCTATGTTAAAGGAAGTCCCCCGCTGGCGGCCATCTTGGATGATGGATCGGCTTCAAAGTAACAACACTTGGTCAGCACCTCATAAGGAACATTCATGCAATGTTTGGTTTTATTCCATTCAGTGGTTCTCTGAAAGAAGACATTTGTATGTATTGTCCATAGGGTCCTATGTTAAACAAAGTTCCCCGCTGGTGGCCATCTTGGATGATGGATCAGCTACAAAGTAACAACACTTGGTCAGCACCTCATAAGGAACATTAATGCCATGTTTGGTTCCATTCCATTCAGTGGTTCTCTAGAAGAAGTTCAAAATGTAAGAAGTTAATGACGATGACGAAGGAGGACAGACGCCAAGTGATGAGAAAAGCTGACTTGACCCTTTGGGTCAGGTGAGCAAAAAAAAGAAAACAATATTACCTAAAAGGTGAAAAATTTGAACGTCCACTTTCCACTCTATTCTTTACTTGGATTTGATTAAAACCCATTTTCCTGATTAAGTCGATTCGATGACATCTACACAAACTTTCCAACAGGTAATCCACCTCCCCTCGTGAAGTGTCAATTTTTCCAAGTCTTTCAAGTTCATTAAAGATTTGAATTCCATCTTCAATTTTTTCTAAAGTTTTCTGTGCTATGTGATCTTGACAGAGGAATTTTAACGATTTTATATCATCTGATTCAAGTTCACCGTCAATTGTAATTAATCCTTTGGTTAGGTCTGTCTGATTTATATTATTATGATATTGAAAAGATTCAAACTCAATCATTGTTTCTTTTTTATAAGTTTTCACTTAAATATCACATTGTCTTGTTTCTCTGAAAAATATATAAAAAATGTATCAAAAATATATAATGTTGAAAATTAATCATTTATATCATGTATATTCTGAAACTAATATAATTCTATTAACAATATAGTTAGTGATGGATCTTCAAATTTTTCAATGTAGCTACAATACAAAAGTTCCACGATATACCATTTTTAAGTTTCATTTTACACACACCAGTCACACAAATACATCGGACAGTTATGCAAATTATCATCTCGTAGCCTGAAATACAAATAATGATAAATGTCCATTCATTTTCAGCAATATGATTGTGCCAGAAACATTTATTTGAATTCTTACATAATGTATTAAAACTATGTCATAATTGTCCATGATACCAAAACTGCCTTCGTGGTCTTGTGTTAGCATGCTCGCCCTGAGTGGAGGCGGTTGGGAGTTCGATCCCTGGCTGGGTCAACACCAACAACTTGAAAATAAGAATTTGCTGCTTCTCTGCTAAGGAGTGAGAGCAAATACTTGTAGGCTTGCAGTCAGAATAGTGTATCCAGTTATGGTGGCATGTCTGCCTGTAGACTGTTACCTTGTGAACTAGCATGTTAAAAATCCTGCTCTGTGTTAGCCTAGTACAAAGCAAGGTTTATATTCATATCACATTATCATGTTCTCATCCTGAATATGCATTTAATTTGCTAGTGGAGTTTAAACAGCTATCCATGATCCCAACAGGAAAGAGGCTAATTGTTCAGAGAGATGTTATCCAAAAAATAAAAACATTTGAAAGGCTATTTTAATTTTTGCATTTCTGGACATCAAAATTCCAAAAGTAGAAACCTAAAAAAGAACAGCACATACTGTATGTGAATTCAGAGCTATTTAAAGACTAAATGAGCTTAGGGAAAAGTTAGGTCTTTTTTTAAATGGATCAATTATGCAAGAATATGGTATATATGCTTGTTAAAACCATCTATGCGTTATCTATATATATGCTTGTTAAAACCATCTATGCATTATCTCCACAGTTGGGTTGGCTTGCTTGCTTTGTTTGTATAAATGTTTGCCCAAGCATTGTAATTAAGATTTGACATCTGCAATCAATAGATAGGCGGGGCTTCAGCTTGTATACATTATACTCTGCATTATACTTAACATGCTTAACATCCAATAACATTTTAAGTGTAATGTATACAAGCTGAAGCCCCTCTATCTATTGATTACAGATGTCAATCTTAATTACAATGCTTGAGCAAACGTTTATACAAACAAAGCAAGCAAGCCAACCAAAGTATTAATCTACAAGCAATAGGAAATTAGCTCTAATGTATGTTTTATGGGCTTCTTTTGTTTTGTATGACAGCCAGTATTTTCATATCCATAAAAGACATAGGTCTAGACATTAATGATTGTAATGTTTATTTTCTACTTTTTTGCACAAAATTTGTGATGAAATTTTACAAAGAAATGTGGTAAAACATGTAAAAAGGACTCAACTTTAATTTGATCCTTTGATAGATAATATCAATGGTTGTAGAAAAGGTATGTCTCAAAGGGATTAATATTCTACTATAAGAACCAAATTTTGCAGGAACTTGCCACATTTTCATGCTGTTTATTGCAAATAAATGCGGAATGTTGGCAACAATGGACAAGGGCATACAAAAAAGAAATTGTTTTTCACCATTTTAACTATTGGAAATTAAATCAATATGGAAGATACTGATAACACACATATGCACATGTACATGTATGACACAAACAATTAGATTAGTTTATTAGAAAGCAAAAATATCAAAGTATATTTGTTCCACGTATCAGAAGTACCCCTGGAAACTTTGTTATAAACGACATAATATCTGTTCCTACAGTCAGGGGTTCTACTTGTACAAGTAATCTTTATTTACTTGAAGAAGTAAAAAAAATATACTTATATAAATTAATTATAATGTTTGACTAATCTCCCCTTTATTTTCTCAAAAATTCACTTGTATAAGTAAATTTTTTTTACAATCCCACAAAAATTCTCAAGTTTTGAGATGTAAAATCATGCTTTTAATGATTTTTCCCAGGTTAGCTCATAATTTTTGATTAAAGTTCAATGTTTCATCTCATTAATTCAATAAAGAAACTGATTGCCAAAGATCTTCAAAAATTGCTCCTTGGGGGCTTGTAAATGAGCAGTGTTCTGAAGATAACAGACAAATGAGATTTTCAATGTCCATGAAATTACACTTACATGATTAGTTAAGACATCTGCAGAAGGACAGACAATTTAAAATTCTATTAGAACAAAGAAGTCCTAAGAATTCAAGAAAAGAAAATAGGATGACTTTTTCACTTATATAAGTAAACATATGCAACTATTCCAGTCATAATTACGTTCGATAACTCTGCATGTTACTGGTTTAATTAGGATTATGTAAAATTTACTAGTTACCCGATGAATGGTTTAAAGAAAATTGAAAAATATAGTTATTTCACCTCGGTTAATATCCATTCGAGGTCTTCTTTTATAAATATAAAATAATATCGTAATGAATTTCATTGAGAATCTGACAACACTAATCAACATAGGTATTGTCAAAACATACATCTACATAGGTATTGTCAAAACTTACATCGTGATTAGGTGCCATGTTTGTTTTCTTTGATTACGTTGATGTTATGACTTAATATCTCCTTAGTCTAGCTATGTCCTTGGCTATCATTATAGTGACAATAACGTGTCATATTTAATTGCAATATAAACAGTGAAATTAAATTGAATTATTTGCATGGACAAAATAAGTGTCGATCATCGTCTACGTTTGAAAATTATTTGGTCGCCATTTTTTAAATTTTTTATAAAAAAACAACAGCATGTATCAGCTTTATCAAAAGGAACCAATGTTTGATTCTATGCTGCTTTAAGGTAAGACAATGACTGAAAACGCGAGCATCCAACAGTTATTTGATTTTCATTTTAACAATCTTACAAAATATATTTTTACCAAGTCGGCCCACGCTGTCAATGTGGTCGCTATCTTGAAAAATAATATCCGATTTTCTGAAAATAGCTAATTTTCAAATCAATTTGGAAGGGACGTAATAAAAAATTAAACTATTGCATGTACGATATTTCAAATATTTATGAATATAGTAATAAGCACATATTTCCACAATTTTTCCATCTGTTTTGTTTAAATCGCAATTTTAGGTTTAACACGACAGAAAATCCAATATTTATTGGAGTTGGATGATTTAACAGTGTGAATTATTGAGGCAACAAGACAAATTTTCAAAAGCATTTGGAAGGGAGAAGACCAAAATTTAAACTTTTCCAAAAGGCATAAATATATTTCTAAATATATGAGGAATTACTATATATTTCCACACTTTTTTTATCATGAACTTAAAGTAATTTATTTTATCGATTCCTGAAAGCCCCTGTGCATTTCTATACATTTTACTTGGGCATGATACGGGTGATGTGTGACGTCGCCAATGTCACGTGATGACTGCTATAGTTGGATATGAAATCTGAATGTCTAAGGGACATAACTAAGCCAATTTTTTGTTTACCTATACAAGTAAATAAAATACACTTGTATAAGTATCCTACAAATTTACTTATATAAGTATATTAATATTACTTCTTCAAGTTTTTTCGGGGTTCGTATGGATAGTAAACCCGGCAAATTGTAACAAACCCCTGTGCAAACACGACAAAAGAGGATGGTTAAAAACTTTTACTTAATTTTCTTAATATGGAGTGTTACATGTACCTTAAAATAAAAAAGAAATAATAGACAATAAAATTCCTACCAACCTTCTCAATAACTTTTTGGATTTCTAAATGAACATCTGGATTCACTGCTTGAACAAAATGTCATAAGTAGGGGAAGTAACCCCAGAAAACAGAAATGGGATTGACATTTAAGTGTTATGTAGTAAAATCAAATACAATCTGAAATTTGTTAAACCTCATCCATGAAGGAACATTCACGTAGTCTGTAGCTATCGGAATGAAACTATTCGTTCATATAAGTTTCCTGTAAACATGATAAATGATGTCTGATCGGAGTGATCCTTAAGGACTAATCATCAGTTATTTATAACATTTCACTCCCCAAGTCTTGATTCGCATTTTGTAATTTTGTATTAAAATAGCATACCAATCTTCCTGGTGTTTAGCAGTTAAAATGTAAAATCCTCTTATTCTTACTTTCAAACGAAGTTCAAGTTGAACTGGAAATCCTTTATCAGAAATCCCCTTATTCTAAAAATAAATTAATGAAAAATCTTTGTGAGATCATGTACATGTACGTGTACTAAATATCAGTTTTTATCGTTTTTTATCTCTACTGAAACATACCATACTTTTTTAATTATTTTACTCGATAATAAAAAAATAATTTCAGTATAATTTTGTACATCTAACTATACTGTAGTTCATCGAATTGGTGAATTTCTCATCTGAAAGTTTTGTGTGAGATAGTTTTCGACGGAAGTTTGACATCTCTCCCAATTACCAACTCGCCCTCTTATCTTCTCGTCCCTTCATTCCACGTACACACTCGCCCCAAATTGATGAGATCTCGTTATCGTGGTTATGTATACTTCTCATCACAGACACGCACACACACACAACACATAATCTGATAATGTTCATCGAAAAATTTATACATACTGGAGTGAAAAGATGAATTACAATTATGAGGGTTACTCAAGTCAGTTTACTGACAACACATATATCGGCTGAAATATACCTACCGTGCTCCTGTCATTGGAGGGAACACAACACAGTTTTGTACACAAATATGGCGATACGAAACTCGATCAGAAATCAATTTTACGATATCTAAACGTTTAGATACGAAGCGAAAAATATCGTGTGCAACACTGGCCATATGCAACTATTCCAGTCATAATTACGTTCGATAACTCTGCATGAATCTGGTTTAATTAGGATTATGTAAAATTTACTGGTTACCCGTGAGCTGATTACAAAAATTGAGAAAATATATAGATATTTCACCTCGGTTAACATCCATTCGAGGTTTACTTTTATTGATATAAAATAATATCATAAAATAATTTCATTAAGAATCGGACAATACCAATCTGCATAGGTCTTGTCAAAACATACATCGTGATTAAGTGCCATGTTTGTTTTCTTTGATCACGTTGATGACTTAATATCTCCTTAATCTAGCTATGTCCTTGGGTATTATTAGAGTGACAATAACGTGTCATATTTCATTGCAATATAAACAGTGAAATTAAATTACATTATTTGCATGGGCAAAATTAGTGTCGAACATCTTCTACGTTTGAAAATTATATGGTCGCCATTTTTTTTCGTAACTTCGAAATTTTATCAAAACAAACAGCATGTATCTAATTTATCAAAAAGAATCAATGTTTGATTATATGCTGCTCTAAGGTAAGACAATGACTGAAAACGCATGCATCCAACAGTTATTTGATTTTCATCTTAAAAATCTTACAAAATATATTTTCACATGTCGGCCTACGCTGTCAATGTAATCAGTGCATGGTTGATGCATATAAATCTTTATTTTGAGTGCGAGAGACTGTTTTTAATAAATATATTAAAGTAAAGGTGAAATAAAAAATTTCTTAAAAACAATAAGACACTTGAATAAATATTTCAAATATTACTTTTAAATTAATAACTGAATGAATACATGTCGAGTCGATGTTTACTTCCGACAGCGGCCGCCATTTTCAAAATATTGCTAACGAATGCCAAAATGTGAATTTTTCAATCAAATTTTGAAGCAAAAAGTTTGTTACCTAAACTGATTTGGTTTTCGATTTCATTTAAATGAATGTGTTGTCGATCTATTTAGGGGTTGGAAGGATATTATTAACAATAGATAAGTCGCGAAAATTGATTGTATAAGAAGGTCTTATTGCAATTTTATCGAGTTTTAACGAAGAAGTCAACGGAGGCTTTGTGGTTATGTCACCTCAACTTTCAATCTTAATTTGAAGCAAGAATTCATATTTCTGAACTGAAACTTAAAACATTTTTAATTGTAAAAAAGAAATTACTGTAAAACGCGGGGTTGGAAGGTAAAATACACAATGTAATAAAAAAGTTATGATCGTTTAATCTATGTAGCCCGTTCATTTTCATTGATAATCAATCGGCCATTAATGATATACAACTGAATTGTAAAAGTCACGTGATGACCGCGATAGTTGGATATGGCTTACACATGTTACATTTGCCACTCTATATATGCACCATTTCTGGTCGAAATGTGGAATTAGCGCATGATGCACGACCTTCCCGATCACTGACTATAAACTGATATAATCAGGGCAATTCATCCACTCCTTACAACGACGGGTGTTTTATGTACTGTTGTTTGTCTGTCTTTTCCTTTTTTTGTCATGTCGTTGTCAGTTTATTTTCGACTTATGACAAAATGTATGAGTTTGAATGTCCCTTTGGTATTTTTTACTTCTCTTTTACAACATACACCTAAATTCTGTAGAGACATCAACAGAATACATATCGGAACAAAAATTACAAAAGGAAATTACATACTACAGTAAAAAAAGATAAATTCAACAAATGTGAGGTACCTGCTACCTGTATAATCTGTAGCAAAGAGGACGCCGAAACTATAGCACACTTCCTGATCTCATGTACTGCACTACGTCTAGAACCCGAAAGAGAAAATCGTCTAAACCTAATACTAGTACATGAGCAGTGTAGAATGTTAGAACTGTTTAACATTAACTTAGATGTAGACTTAACCCATGTGATATGTAACCCTTACTACCTTATGAAATTCTGTGTCTGCCTCAAATAAGTGATTTATATAGCTTCATTATAACAATTTATGTTGAACCTGCTTGTGGAACACTTATATATAATTAGTTATCAAAGGTACCAGGCTTATAATTTGATACGCCAGACGCGCGTTTCGTCTACATAAGACTCATCAGTGACGCTCAGATCAAAATAGTTAGAAAGCCAAACAAGTATAAAGTTGAAGAGCATTGAGGACCCAAAATTCCAAAATGTTGTGCCAAATACGGCTAAGGTAATCTATGCCTGGGATATTCTTAGAAAATCCTTAGTATTTTGAATAATTCATACTTTTGCAAACAATTAATTTATAAAAATGTCCGTATAATTGATATTCATGTCAACACCGAAGTGCTGACTACTGGGCTGGTGATACCCTCGGGGACGAAACGTCCACCAGCAGTGGCATCGACCCAGTGGTGTAAATAGTTATCAAAGGTATAAGCTGTATATGCCAAGGTACAAGCTCTTAAACACAGGACAGAAATTAAAACTTCAGAAAGACAAATTTAGCTAAGCTAAAGTAGTAGTTGTGTGTGGACTGTGGATCAATTATTATTTAAAAATTGTTTATAAGTAAAACTTTATGTGTGAGATACTGGTGAAATTTTCATTTTTATTGCAGATGTATTAATTAGGATTCTTTTGCTGCTACTTTTATTTCAGGTTCCGATATCATTATTAGAAGTGCTAAACAAAGTGCGACCTAACAGTAAATGAGCTCGTTTCATAGGGTCACGTGACTGTGAGAGAAAAATATAACACAACATTGTTATAAAACTGAATTTGAAAAAAAAATAGGCAGTGCAGGGTTAGGGTTAGGCTGCGGCAAAATAGCGTCTTAGGTGCTATTTTATCGGCTCCGGCAAAAATAGCCTCTTAGGTGCTATTTTACCGGATCCGACAAAATGGCCTCCATGTAGCGCTATTTTGCTGGCTCCGGCAAAATAGAGATTTATATAGAGTTTTGCTATTTTGCCGGGCCTAATTCAGATTGTTCAGTATATTAATTACGAATAGAAAGAAATGTAGAAACTTTAAAATGTTAATGAGAAATCTCTAAAAGTATGTCTTCTTTAAAAAAAATATATATACATAAGCAAAGCATGCATATTAAAATTGATATTCTAATAAAAAAAATATCCCATAAGTTTTGATTTTAAAAGTAACTTTACATACAAAAAAAATCTCTTTTTAAAAGAATATAATTACATAAAATACATAAGAAAAGCATGCATTGCATTTGCGCCAATTTTAACAAAATTCAATCTTTCATTTGCGTCACAAGGTTATATTTCTTTTGCGCAAAAAAATAAAAACTACATTTGCGCCATTTTACAAGTAACATATAACGGAACAGTTTAAAATATTCATTGCTACATCGTGAAGAAGAGTATTCCCCCTGGGTAACTAAGCAAGTTCATACTCATTTCTAATATAAAACTGAGAGTCACTTAAGTTTAAAACTATATAATGCTCTCATGTGTGAGGTGTCAAGATGGACATTGTCAATTCTGAGACAAACAGGTCGTTAGATTTCTCAATTGGATTTATTTGTTTCATATCTTTCATGTCGGGGTTGTTTATAGCCGACTATACGGTATGGGGTTTTCTCATTTTCGAAGGTAGTACGGTTGCCTATAATTGCTTTCATCTACTTCATCTGAACATTGATGGATAGTTGTCTCATTGGCAATCATACCACATCTCCTTATTTTTAAAAAGAGTAAATAAGTCTGTAATTTTGTATGACCACACATATAGGTTATCCAGTGTACATGAGTACATCCTAGCCGTTGCTTTTAAGTCTTGTGCCGGAACAAACTTTTGGTTTTACTCCAGTGAATAGTGCTTTCTTTTAGGTTGTTTGATCTCGTTAATTTGCAACAGAACTGTGTTTTAACATTATTATGAAAAGTCTCTCATTAAGAATGTATCAGTGAAGTGCTTTCATTATGGTCACGATGACTGATTTCGGAGGAATATGTATTATTATGCAATCAAAAACTTTGTTTTTAAGTTATCATTAAAAGTCTCTTTTTGAATAAAACTATTTTTATACTATTTACCTCTATTATTGGCACAAATGAAATGTTTTATTTTGACGCAAATGAAATATGGTTGTGGCGCAAATGAAATATTTTTTTTGGCGCAAATGAAATGCCAATTGGCGAAAGCAAAGCACCGTAAAATTGATATTCTAATCAAAAATTATAAAAATATCCCATAAGCTTTGAAATTAAAAGTAAAATTCAATAACTTCAAAATGTTTTACAAGTGTTACAAATC